GGACATAAAAACGTCCTTGCTTTTAACAGAGCGCTTCATAATTTCTAACCACGAAAATTATTTAAACTGCGACACTTATCATTCAACCAGAGCTCGAAATATCACAAGGATCCTCAAGAGCACAGCAAAGAATTGCGTATCTAAAGAAATGAATAAGATAAAATTATATTCGTGTACTGCGACAGGGCTGTGTAGGGCTGTTTCACCTCTCTCTTCATGTGACTCTATTCAAAAGCCATCTAGCAAAGAGGGGATGAAAAGAGTGATTTAAAGGATAGAGAAAGCACAGGAAACAGGCAGTTAGATTGATCAGATTAGTACTAGTATACTTCAGATCTTTTTTTCTGAACCATGAAAAATCTGATCATGTTTCTCTATGACAATAATAAAAAACATTATTTTACATAACACCTTTATGTGATATCACCTTAAGGACAGCACATACAAGGGTTAATTGCACAATGGACCGCGCAAAGAAATGTAAAATAGTCTTCTTTAGGTGTGAGGGCAGGAGTTGATCGCAGCAGGCATAATCAGCAAATTAGGAAAACAAAGAACAGGACAGGTGAGATGTGTATCCAAAGAGCGAGTGATCAGAAAAAGGAACAGCTGTTACGCCCAGGTTTTCGACGCAATTGTTTTAACTTGCTAATGCATCAGACACATTTCCTGGCGTATTGTGTTTTAAATAAAATAGGAGTGTCTTTCCCTGGTATTAGCTCATCGGTATGGTGTAAGTTTTATCTGTACCATAGTATACAGTATATAGGTACAGAATTCAAGCTGCACCACTGTATCGATTTGATAAGGAGACGGACTATGGCCAAAATCACGAAGACTCTCTCACACCAAATAATGAAGATGAAAAGAAACGGGAAGTCAACACTGTGACATTGTACAGCATTTGGCTTTGATGGACATCTTCGTTTGTGAAATCACAGTGAGACGACATTATAAAGAGGAGAGGGGGCAAAGAGAATCTAAACTCAGGATGATTCAAAGGTAAATAACTTTCTAAAAACTTTCTAAAAATACTTTTCTAGCATATTATTTTTAAAACTAAATGTTGATCTCTTTTTTTTAAGTCCTATTGTGCGAGCTATCGACAGACTGACTGA